GATGCAATGAACGTTTTCTGAGACCCTTGATCTATAAGAGCTCGAATTTTGAATATTTCTCCATTGTGTAGGATTGAGACTTTTGCGGTAGGAAGTAGAGTTTTTTCTCTACTACTCGCGAAGTGTGAGAGGGTTTGGTTCTGTTGAGAAGACGAGGGAGTTTGGTTTTGTTGAGCGTCTTTAGAGGTTGACGCTCTGTTTGGGTCGCTATTCGCTGGGGGTGGAAGTCGCGCAGGATTCGTTTTTGTCCTTGTGCCTGTATTTGCTGTTTGTGATTTAGCGGGGTAATGGAGAAGAGAGTGATGCCGTTTTTGGCAGTAAACACAGGTAAAATTGCTATGGCACTCAGTTTCTGAATGGGAGAAGGCTAAACAGTTCCTACAGTAGTGATTATCTTTTATGAATTTGTTGCGATCCTGCACTGAGAGCTCCTTGAATTTGACGCAGTTCATCATATACTACGTTTATACGCATGCCTAAGTCGCTTTAATTCATTTGGCCGCGATTCAGAACATATGTATAAACTGAATTTCAATTCGCTTTGAAAGAGCGAAGTGTTTTGGCTCACACTCCATTTCAAATCGGTAGTTTATTTCTCCAGACAGTTAGAAAGAGTGTATAAACACCGCTCTCACTCAAAGCGAATTGGAGATCAGCTGTTCCGCTCAATGTAGCATACGAACAGTGTTACCACAATTTCTTTAATTTAAGATTTATTGCAATTTGTTTTAGCATTGTAAAGTAAAACATTAACTAATTTATTAACACATTTGATAGTAAATTATTTATCTTAAATAAAGTATATTTCAAGTATTACCAATTTTTTTTCATGCGAATTAAAGCTTAATTTGTTTCAAAAACTTCAGTGCTACTAAAGTTTTCTGCTGCAGCTCTTATTGAAGAGGAATGGCAGCATTGTATGCCAAACTCAAGTTGATTTTCAGCAAAGAAATACAAGCTGGTGTGAAATGTGAAATAAAATGGAAAATAAAAAGAAAAGAAATATATGGAGAGAAAAAGAAATAATAGAAATGATTTCTATTATAAAAGAAAAGCATATATTAAAATTGTTGGACAGCAAAATAAAAAGGAATCGAAGCATTTTTGAAGAAGTGGCTCGTGCATTGAATTCCAAAGGAATCAAAACGGACGCCATCCAAATTAGAGCGAAGTTCAAATCGCTGAAAAGCGATTATTACAAAGCCAAGCGGAATAATAATAGCAGTGGTGCTGAAAGACAAACCTGTGATTATTTCGAAATGTTAGATGAAGTGCTTGGTCATCGACCTGCAGTATCTGTAGAGGGCGTGGACACTTCACAAACCGAGCGGCCAGCAGACAACACAAATACTTCGCAAAGCAGCTATTTAGAAGTGGAAGCAGATTGTATTGAAGAAAACGATCATGCCGATGGTTCGGAATCCAGTCCCGCATGCAGTACTCCTCGTAATCCGAAAACGTTCAAAAATCAAAGTGCGTTAAGTATTGTGGTTAAAGACGTGTTTGCATATCATAAAGACATGTTATGTATTTTCAGAAAAAAACTCATATCTGAAAGCTATGGAGTCTTTTACAAACGAGTGGAAAAAAACGCAGGAAAACTTAGTCGATTCCTTGAAGAAGCAAGACGAAACCCATTTTAGTAAAGTGGAACTTCTATTAGAAAGAAATCGCAAAGAGACGCAAAAAATGTTAGAGGATGATCGCCACGAAACCGCCAAGATGTTTTCTTCTCTGTTAAGCACGATGCAGATGTCACAACCGTCAAACATTCCTGTTTACATGCCTCATCATTTTCTCTCACCCTCACTTGCTTTGGCCCCGGAAATCGTATCAGCAACGCCTGGTGAATTTGATATTTTTAGGTCACAGCAATCTCCAGAATAAACACTTTTCATCGCTTGTTTCATTCACAACATTCATATTTTCAATTACATTTACAGTGGCGCCCACGTAAAGAGCACACTTTCGTTGTTTACAATATTCAGTGTTTAACGTGATTTATTATATTTATGATTTATTATACTAGAATTGAATAGGCTACAAAACTGCATACCCCATAAGTTTCTAAGGATTCTGAAAAGTGCAAAATTTTGATGAATTTTTTTTTAAATCTTTAAAAAAATTTCCTGAATTGTGCACACGGTTTTTAACTTTGCCTTATATGGTTTATGTTATAGAATCTACTATATTTTTACAAAAACTTTACGAAAACGTGACATTGTAAAAAATCTAGGTGTGCGATTTACGTGAGCGCCGCTGTATATAAACATATAATGAGTACGAAATGCATTTATTTGTAGTCTTTTGTGAACTTTTTGTTTTTTTAAATGTTTAATATACTGTTGCCATACATTAAATAAAATTAAATCAACATGCGCTTATGCATATTTATACATACATATACGTACTTATGTTTATTAGTTTTTGAGTTATCGCATCGCTAGATAGGACTTCGGTACGACGCCATATAAAAATTAAATTAACTTAATTAAAAATTTAAATTTAAAAACATAACTGATGCTTTTTTAATAACTAGGCCAACGTAAAATATTCATTTTTTCATTACAAAATTTCATTCAATTTCTCATCTCATGTGCGTCGAAACAGACAAAGAAAATTATAATTAAATGAAAGTTTCAAAAGTATTTGAACAAATTTTAAAGTAATTATAAAATAATACAGCTAGTTTCTTTAACTAAAATGTATGATACAAAAGCACCTGAACAGTTTTATCAGGTCGGACTATTTTTCTTTTATACAGGGTGTCCGAAAATAACAAGCCTAACTTGAGGAGATGGTAGGTGGTGGGGTGAGCTCCCTGATAAGCAAACAAATTTAAGGCAAAAGTGTCACCGTTTTTGAAATATTTGTTATTTTTTATTAAAGTATGGTTAATGCTTAGAAAAATTCAACAAATTTTCATTAAAATTTTGAACTTTTTATTCTGAATTTCTAGAAAATTTTTGGGTATGCAATTTTATAGTCTTGCAGTTTGCTGGCATGCATTTCTTATGGAAGAAAATGCACTAGCCCGTTTGCTAAGAAATTTTAAACAAATCACCGTCATATTTTATAAATTGCACTTGTTGTATGAAAAAAACGTTAAAGTCGTCAGCAAAAAAAACTAAAAAAATCAACGCGATTTTTAGCAGGTTTAAACTTGCACTTCATCTGACTAAAATTGTATGGGCTGTACCCAAAAATTTTCTAGAAATTCAGAATAAAAGTTCAAAATTTTAATGAAAATTTGTTGAATTTTTCTAAGCTCTGTATAAAAACTGAAGTTTGGAGTTATATGGCTTTTGTCATATAATGCGCTATAATTTTCTGAAAAATCGGCGAACGTTAAGCAAACAAAAGAAAAATAGTCAGAACTGGTCAAAATGTCTAGGTGCTATTATTTTGATCAGTGGTAAAGAATTATGATAGCTTTTAATTATAATTGCTTCTTACTAAAGCTATATAATTAGTCTTTTTGAGTTTGGTAGTCAGTAATTAAAATAAGTGGTTTTCAAAGGAAAATTGTCTTTTAAAAAATTTTTCAAATTGTTTCGCAAATGCTTAGGGTCAACATTGTCATCAAAAATTATTTCACTAGAAAGGGTGTCTTGAGGCTGCGGAAATTCTCTTATATTTAGAGCTGATTGTGCCCACGTTTCTAAATAGGATTCTTTCTGTTGTTCAACAAAATTATGTAATATAGCACAAGCTAAGACAACTTGCGGAACGAAAGTAGGATTCACATCAATTCTTTTAGTTAGGCATCGCCAACGACCTTTAAGTCGACCAAAAGCATTTTCGACGACTATTCGGGCAGAACTCAAGTGGCAATTAAAAGATTCTTCGGCTGCATTCAAACTTCCGGTGTATGGTTTTATTAACCAGGGAAGAAGTGGATACGCAGGATCTCCAATAAGAAATAGTGGCGTTTCAACACCATTTATTAATTTTGTATGCCTCGGAATTAATGTCGATGAGTTTTTAAACAATCCCGACTCCTTAAAAACCGTCGCGTCATGAGTGCTTCCAGGTAACTTAACGCTGACATCTGTGAACCTTAATAAAAAAATGTAATTTTTTACAATATATCGTTATATAATATGGGTATTTTAACAACTTAAGGCGGATCTCCATAGCATGCGTATACGTATGCGTGCGTTTGACAGAAAAATTGAATATACAAATGTTTATGGCAGCACCTACATAGCAACGCATCAAAATGTAAGAAAATTGTATGAATTTTGATTTCTAAGCGTAAATGTCAAACGCACGCATACGGATGCGCATACTATGGAGGTCCGCCTTTATTTAACTACTAAAGTAACAAAATGTAAAAATGTTTCCCATTGGTTCTAATGTACATATGCATGCATATACATACATGTAGTTGCTATCCACCACTCCTTGCATTACGATGGAAGGCCACCCCTTTCTATTAATATAATCTAGGTATCCTTGACTTGGTGGCAAGATCGGTATGTGGGTTCCTAAAATGTTTAATTTCCAGAGTTTTAGTTATGTATGGATATGCATATAAGCCTTCAGGTTGGTTAAAATTACCATCGATAGCGCCAATAATGTTTGGTATATGCGATTTTTTCTCAAATTCACTTGCAATTAATAACGCATCTCCCACCTGTGGAAACTTGATAAACTCTGTTTTTAGCTGAATTAACGCGTTCACGACGAGGTGAAAATATTTGTGAACAGTGCTTTTGTGCACACCAAAGACATCACCAATAACTCGGTATTCTCCACAGGAAGCCAATTTATATAAACAAATGGCTACTTGCTTCTCTATAGCAAGGGGTGGAGTGATACATGGCACACAATCGTTTTTAAGAAAGCACTCTAGTTTTTCGCAAAGCAGTAGGAACGATTTTTTACTCATACGGAAAGCTTCGATGTAGCACTCATCATTTTCTGGCTGCTGCAGCGTCCACCAGAAGTTCTCCTTCCTTTTCCGTTTGTGGAAACGTCGAATTCGAGGCATATTCGTAGCAAAAAATATGTTTGGTAAATTAGCCTGGGACCCAACCAATTCTCTCACATTATTTCTTTTTTCATTGTTTGAATTCCAAATATTCGCATCAGTATTTAAAAGCTGATTAATAACAATCGTTCTTTTTCTTTGCCACGATTTTATAATGCCGAATAAAACTAGATTTTTCTCACTTTCCATTACGTTAACTTATAAAATGTCAAATGAAAACAGCTGATTTTGTTTGCTTTTGAAGACGGTTACTTTGATGCCGATATAAAGCCGTAAGCATAAACACTACAGCGAAATGTGTACGGTGTCAATGCGCTTTGAATTAAGTCGATTATTCTGTGCGTATAAACGTAGTAATAGAGTGGTTGGAGTTGCATAATTTGCAAGATGCCTGCTTTTTTATCTCAGCGTTAAATGAGTGGGTTCTGCTTTTATAGCTGAAAGAATTATTCTTATTAGGGGTTGATGAGCTAGGAGGGTAATTTTGGTTAAAGCCTTTGGGCTTATTTGGCCTATACGTACTAAGTCGTTCTACAACTTCGTACCGTGTAGTCAGGAATTGGTCCATTTCGGACCAGAGAGGCAACTCCTTTCTTGAGTTGAGTGATTGTTCCCATAAGGCGAGAGTTTCGTCTGGGAGTTTTGAGGAGCAGAGGTATATTAGCATAGGGTCCCAGTCTTTTGTGGATACACCATTTGCATTGAGGGTTGAGAGGCAATTGTTAATAGTGGTCTGTATTGCCTGAATTTTTTCCCCATTTTCACTATGAATGGGTTGAATATTAAAAAGGGTTTTGAGCTGGTTGTCGACGAGAATTCTGCGATTCTCGTATCGAGACTTTAAAGCGTCCCACGCCAGCTCAAAATTGTGGTCATTGAGTGCATAATTTTTAATTATGAGTTCAGCTTTACCTCGAGTTTTTTGCCTTAAATGATAAAGCTTTTGGGCTTGAGAGAGTTTGGGGTGATTTATGTACACTGCTGTGAACATATCCCTAAAGGACGGCCAGTCTTCATATCCACCGTAAAATGTTTCCGTGTCACAAGCAGGCACTTTTAGATAGTTTTGGAGTTCGGGTGGGGCTGGTAGTGCTGAACTGCTGATGTTACTGGCGGCCATCATGTCGGGTTGGCGATCGCTGAATAATTCGTTGATGCGCGTCCTGGTACTTATGCACGTGTCTACCGCGGTGTCGTATTTCGCCTCGCATGCCTTACTGGATTTCTCGTCCGAGCTGCTCATGTTCACCGCTTCGTATGAGTTCTCCACCCATGACAAGTGTTTGTTGAGTTCCTCCAAGAAAAGCTTGAGACTGGCTTCCGAGTGGCCTGTTTCGCAAATCTTCCACCATTTCGCGCAATATTTTTCCAGCTTAGAAATTTCGAAAAGGAATTTTTTCTGCGCTTTGGTAAATTCCACGTCCTCAGCTTGGGACTTTGACCGTGTTTTTTTTGTTGCCTGGTGAGGAGGCTGGAGGGAAGAGGTTTCCTGTTTTTCCTCGGCCATTTTAATTTAATTTATTAAGTGCTCTTTCTAATTATTTGGTTAATTTTATAAATTGAGTACTTGTAAAAAATTTTGAGTCACTGTATGGTCTCAGCGCGTCTGAGCACAATAGAATTTATATAAGTATATGTGGACGTATGTATATGTACGAGTGCGTAATTGTCGCAAAAATTGAAGGGGTTTAAAGTTATTTTAATAGTTTAAATTTCTGGGGTGTTATTTAAAATAATTATTTTGATTTAAAAATTTGGGCTTATTGGGGAATTAACAAAATCGGATTTCGTTCGCACTGATACGAATAATTTGTGGAGTCACTGTATTGCCTCAGCGCATCTGAGCACAATAGCATGTATTGGGTGTACTTGTTTTGCTCTAAAACAATTAAGATACGGAAATATGTATGCGCGGGTACCTGCACTGAGATTCGTGTAAATAGCTATGTACGTATTTTTGTATGTGAACGCGGGGAAAGTGAAAAACAAAATCAAGCTAATTTGCCAATTATACAAAATAGTAGGTATATGTACATATATGTACGTGTGCCTATGTCAGCCGTTTGCTGTAGTTTGGCGCTTAGCTGTGAAGGGCTATTGCCCCGTGTATGTACGAGTATATATATGTATATACCTAGAAGGTAGAAAGGGAGACCAAATTGAAAACAAATATGTACATGGGCTGTTTGATCTACTAACAAGTATGTATGCACACTTATGGACATATATTTTTGGCGCTGGAGTATTATGTAGTTCAAACGTACAAAGGCGAAGGGGGCTGACCGAAGCAATATTATTTGATGTGAGTAGGCGATGGGAAACCGGAAATTTTGTTTGCAAATTCCCAGTAGGAAATTTAACTTTCACTTGACAATATTTGTGATTTCGTATTTTACTAGTGAACAATTATTACTGCGATGAGCTTATATGATTTATATGTCCGTGAGGGAGTGTATATTTATATATATATATATGTACGTAGTTTAGCGGATTTTTCCTCGATTTTAAGAGAGATACGGGGATACATAACTATATGTGTTTATGTAATTTTGTGAGCTTATGTACCGACAGGGTGAACGGTAACTCTGCGAAATGAGAGGTTTTTTCCTCAACGGTAAATGAAAAAATAGAGCA